TATATTGATGGCTGAGAAGATTGTATTTACATTGTAGTACGAAACAGCGTAAGTGTTTAATTCGAACCGATTTGTTAAGGATATTAGAAAATCTTTACCCTATAAAAACGTGAACGTCGTAAATAGTTATTCCAGAAGCAAACAGGTCCTCGGATGCATTGCTAGTGAGCGGTAACTGAAACCATCGCACATGGAAACAGAAACTCCATGTCGAAAAAACCAAAACAGTAGCATCATGCGGTATCCGGGTAGCTACTTATAAACGGGGGCAAAAATCTCACTCACGTGTTTTAGCTTTGGGTAAATGTTGCGAGTAAATTGGAAATAACGGCTGCACGTCACACAACTACTGTTTCCGTGTATTCAGACGGATATACAAGACTTACATAATACATATATAAACGCCATTATTACCCCAAGTATCCATAGCTATACATGTATATATGCGTTATTATCAAAGTACATACACATCATTATTTTATATTAATAGTGTAGGGAAATATCAGCCTTATTATCATATATCCAGATTCTTATTCCATGGATAGTGCTTGCGTGAAACATCCCAACAAAACTACAACTCGAATATTTTGTTCGCCTCATATAAACCAAACCAGATATACAACAGTGGCGCCACCAATCAACCATTACTGCAATACATAACCGAAGTATACAAAAAAGCATCCACAAATAGTCATTGGTACCATGATCTACTAATTAAAATCGGAATTACAATTATAATGTTATTATTATATGTATAATACTTTTATCTACAATTATAACGTAATTTCTCCACGATAACAATGAGTAGGCTACAGCGGGGAATGGCTTTCTGTAACAAAACCCCCTTTGCATGATTGCAGACATTAAGGAGACGTACTGGGACAGGTCTGTGCTGCCCGTGATGTGTAGCAGGCTATGCGAACAGGAGCCTTGCTGCGATGAGAAGGGAGTTTGCTCGTGCGGGAGTAAGACTGGTCGCTACGAGTGCGTCTGTGGGCCAGGCACGCAGGGCAGCGGTTATCGGGGAGACTGCCATGGTAAGTAGAAAGTAGAAGAGAGAGAGAGAGAGAGAGAGAGAGAGGTATAGGAAGCTAAAGACAGAAGCGCAACGCTGATCGCAGGAGATGGTTTTATCGTCACACACAGCGCCCAGTACTAGAATCGTGTCCACAGAACGTTATACACGTAAAATATTATAATCTGTTATATTGAATTTTAATAATTATGATACTTTAGTCTGGAGTCATCGAGATGCGGAGAAGACATTATTAGCCTGATTGTTTGAGTAGATTCTTTATTAATATATAAACTATCGTCAGGAAGGTGCTGTTGTTGGGTAGTGGTGTTGACCATATATTAGGAATTATCTATAACAAGCAGTAAAGGTACAAAGATGATAATAAGCTACACGATGACGTGAAGCATAGCAATCTTTATGTAACCAATAACTGGCCGTTGTACTCCAAGAACTAATCTATTAAAATACGTCTATTTAAATATGGAGAGAGAGAGAGAATAACACGTTGGATCGTGCTGAATTAATGATGTCAGCAAGATACTAAGCAGTGAACGTTGCCAATTTCACTCAATTCTTGAAGTAGAAGACCGAATGCTGACAGATTGGCTTTACGTGGACCTAATTGCAAAAAATCGTGAACGTAGAAATCGCGTTACTTCGCACTGGGTGTATGGTAGGAAAGAATGATAGCTTCGTTGTAGATTGCTCGATCGGCACGTACAAGGACTACTATGGACATGGCACGTGCAAGGCCTGTCCACGTCATTCGACCAACGTCATCACCGGCAGTAACTCTCTCAGAGATTGCTCCTGCGACAGAGGCTTCAAGGGTGATCCAGGCAGCGGACAGGATTGCACCCGTGAGTATAGCCCGTAGAACCCATCGATTTATTATTTTCATACAGGATTAATATGGCCGGTCTGCCTTCTTTGGCAGCACAGCCTTAGTGTGTAAAATAGCGTGCAGAAGCTAGCACATAAAATTTCGTTTCACGTGTGCTCGTATTCTATAGGAACTAACACACACACGCATGTGCCCGGACATACGCACAAGCATGCGCGCATACGCGCGCGCGCAAGCACACACTCACACACACACACACACACACACACACACACACACACACACACACACACACACACACACACACACACATGCGTGTGCGTGTGTTGTGTGTGTGTGTGTGTGTGTGTGTGTGTGTGTGTGTGTGTGTGTGTGTGTGTGCGCGCGCGCGCGTGCGCGCGTGTGCGCGTGTGTGCGCGTACGTGTGTGTGGGAGAGAGAGAGAGCGAGAGAGAGAGAGAGCGCGCGAGTGCGAGAGAGAGAGAGAGAGAGAGAGAGAGAGAGAGAGAGAGAGAGAGAGAGCGAGCGAGAGAGATTCGAACGCAGGCCTGGATCCCAACCATAATAGCGGAAAGTGTGAGTTACGCCTGTGAGAGTTTTTTATGGCTATCATAATATAACATTAGTGTTGCTAAGAACTCTGCACACTTCTTATAGTGCTGAAACAGAAGGCGGCTTAAGTACGCACTTACGATAGAGTGTGTGTAAATACCGGCAAAGAATGTAAATAAAGTAAGAGAACTATTATAGATGATGTCCACAGACTTCTTCGGCCGAATTCTCTTGTCAGCTTCCGAACTCTTTTTCTTAATCTTTTTTTCTTTCTCGATTCGCTGCAGCGGTCACCTGCGCGCCGTTTCAAGCACCAGCTGGTGGCGTTATGATACCTGAACACTGCGACAATGAATACAGGTCAAGCTGCCATCTGAAGTGTCTATCTTGGCAAGGTTACGTCTCGCTCCCAGATATGCCATTGGAGAGTAATTGCGGACCTACTGGCAAATGGGACGTACCGGAACTCTCGTGCCATCGTAAGTAACACCACGAGCGCGTCATGTGTTTTACATGTTGACATCTAGTGCCCGGGTGGCCGTTGTCTGAAACATCGTAAAGTTAATGCTAATGTTAATGCTAAGATAGGTCGGGATTCGGTCAGACGTCGAGCATGGGTTAATGGTAGTTCTACCAGTGTACCCCTTTCGTTCCCGCTTACAGGGAGCGGGGGCGAAGGGGCTACACCGGTGGAGCTACGTTGATGGACTCGTGAGCGGGTGCGTAAACACACGTGTAACTGATTGAACGTGATTCGTAGGTTCGTAAATGGATTCGTAAATCGAATATGTTCTTCACTCGGCGACTCTTGTGCTTAAAAGCCTGACTTACCCACATGTAGATTCATGCAACGTCTGTGTTACGTGAAAACCCAGCCAAGTATTAAACTCACGGTCGTGAACAATCCCCACCTATCATTAAATACGAACTTGATAGGAAACTGTAATTTTTCCTTTGAACTATGAATTTCCCTTTTAGGGGTTACGTGCCCTAGATTAGAGGAACGCGAGCACTGCCTCCACAACTGCTCGAGCAGTGACTATTACTACGGAACAGTGTGTAATCTTACCTGCAACGAGGGATCTAAGTTGAGAGGTTCGTCGCAACTCACGTGTGAGCTGAACGGTGAATGGAGTGGAACTAATGCTGGATGCGAAGGTAAACCGACATCACGTGCTCTATATTATACGATATGAACATAAAATACGACATAACTGATCAGTATGATAATTATATATATATATATATATTATATAGATTATATAATAATAATAATAAATAAACGCAGTGTTTTATAATCTGAATCTCCATTATTAGGCACTCATTATTCCCAAAAATATCTAAAAAAAGATCCCACAAAGCAAAACAAACTTAATTATATTAAATAAAAAATTAATAATTAAAATAAATATAGCTCTGTATTTTCCCCCTTCTCAGTCGTCACGTGTCCCCCGCTGAAAATGAACAAGAAATTAAAGGTGCATCCGCACGAGTGCAGCTTGGAGAGCCGACAGAACGGCACCGTCTGTAAATACTACTGCGTCGACGGCTTCCGGCTGCTCAAGGGCAAACACGACGGAAGCAGTATCGACGTGCAAGACGACGGATGGCGGGTGTGCACGCCATCTGGCGAGTGGACGGACACGGGAGTCCCGATAACGTGCAGTGACGTGTCGCCGCCTCGATTCACCTACTGTCCCGACGACATCGTCGTTCCGACCGACCACCAGATCGCCACGGCGTTGGTCGACTGGCAGGAACCGTCGGCAGCCGACAACGACGGCGCCGCACCGATAGTGAAGCTTATCGAACCCGCGCTGTACTTCGAGCAGAAGATATTTAGCATCGGCGAAACGCGAGTGATCTACGTCGCCATCGACGCGTCCGGGTTGGAAGCGAATTGCACGTTCAGCGTCAAGGTCATCGATGACGACCCGCCGCTAATCATCTTCTGTCCGACCGACGTCGAAATCTTCCACGACAAACGCAAAAAAGCCGTGCTGTGGGACGAGCCGCGATTCAGAGACAACTCTGGCGCCGACGTGTATATCTATAAGAGTAGAGAACCGGGCGACGTGTTCACGTGGGGTCAACCAAGCGAGGTCATCTACACGGCAACAGACAACAGCGGTAACACGGCCGTGTGCAGCTTCAGCGTTAAGGTGAAGCCCTACTCGTGTCCGTACCACCCTCCTCCGGAAAATGGCGCCCTCTCGTGCGACACGTGGCAGGAGGGGCAGTACTGCACCGTGCAGTGCCAGGAAGGATTCGACTTCTCTCGTCCGTCGGAGGAGATGTATTACTGTCGCCAGATGGATGGGTACGGCGCGTGGGAACCATTAGTGGCGCATAAGATCCGAGAGTTTAAGTTCCCGTGGCCCGACTGCTCAGTGAAGAGACATCCGAATGAGGCGGAGACGGGCCTGAAGATGCAATACTTCATCGGGAACTGTCAGTCGCAAAAATCGCAGCTAGAAATACAGCAGAATTATCTCGAGACCTTGCAGCAGTGGACGCCATTTTTGCAAGGTTTGTGCGTGCTGACGTTCTGTATGTATATAGCCGTGTAAATATGAGACTCTAAATAGAATAAATAAAACGAACGAGAATACATAATTCGAAAATATATATATATAAAAAAGGGTTAGCCTGTTTTAAACGTAACACCCGGCTTCACTTGCATTCTCGCCGTTTTCTCAGGGGCTATATCTTTATTCGTATAGATTCAATTAGGGATAATAGTTAACAGATTAGTGGTGCTATTCAAACGATATATAAACGTTTTAACATCTGTTAAAGAGATTCGCTCAGGACTGCGCACAACTTGAAACAAGTTGTCATACGTTATAATACGTGCACAACTTTTAGTTTCAGATGAACAACATCAATCTGTAATCTTCCATAGAAACGTTCGCTATAATCAAATACGTGGTTTGTTTATTAACACAGGTCTGTGCGACAACGACATGGTCTGCAAAATAGAACGCGTCAACGTCACGTGCAGCCGACGACAAGACGACGACAAGCCAAGAGGACCGGAACCCGACGACTATCCCACCGGCCAGGAACTCCAGCACCCCAACCGCGACAACTTCGAAAGGAATGCTACGGCAATCGACGATGCATACCACGACGAGACGAACACAACCGATCTCGATTACTACGATGCCGAAACAGAAGACATCTTCAGCGCATCTAGAGGAAACTTGAGCGAGAGCGGAACCGACGGCAACGTCACATACCCGCTTGGGAGAGAACGTCGTCAGATTCACCGCGAACCTCTGTACAAGCCCATGCCGACAGGAGGCCCCGGGAGTCAACCTCCGTGGAAATACGTGCCGAAGGCCGCTTTTCCCAAGCAGACAAACCCGCAGATTAATCCGAAGTTCTTCGAGCAGCTCGACGAGGTGATTACGATGGATCTCATCCTGACGGTAGGCAGGAATATCTCATCGTGGGACGACCTCGCGGCCAACTCTGACTTCATGGAGTTGATCTACGCAGCGTTGCTGACAGTACAGGCTGGATTAAACCAACACATGGGCACGCTAGGTATGCAGGTGAGCTGGCGCTTCATAACATCCATATTTCCTCATTTGTTGTTGAAGTTAATGAAGTTAAATCAATTAAAGTTAACGAATTCAATAAAAGTTCAGATTCAATCGGAGTAATGAAATTGTTACGGGGGACAACATGCACGCGGAAAATACTGCATGAGACAAATACTTTTTATTTACGTATATGTTACACATAAATTGTAATTGATAGTAGCAGGGGTGCATAAAAAAAGCGAATAAGTTTGTTGTTATGCTCTCCTGATAACGTAAAAGAACAAAATCAAAGTACTGAGTAATGTTTATTAAAATTAATTTGTAGAAAGTCGTGTTAATGAGGCTATAAATCGATCTGCCATACTGCACGTTACTACTAGCATATGTGTCTTTAGAGTAATTAAGCTTAATAAACTCTAACTGATTAATTAGGTTATATTAATATAACCGACATAATAATAGCAGGGGAACATCATTACTATAATTCCTTCATGAGTCTTTGCAGTATACCCGAGCTTCACGAAACCATGAGTTAGATATACGCATTCATATCAATCTATCTAATCAATAAATCAAAGCTACTCTCTATTTCATTTCTAGATCAAAGTTCTATACATTTCAAAAATCATTTTCAGGGGGAAGTCAACTTCATTCCAAAACTTCACGCGGTTGTAGTTACGGAGAAGCCGTATCCGACTGGTTGCGGAGCCGGGCAGATGCTTCACAACAACACCTGCTTTAATTGCCCAAAAGGAACGTATTACAATCCCGAATACAGGTATACTTCACATAATAACAAAACACGAAGTAAAATGACACGGGGTGTACTTCTTCCCTCGGCCAGAGCCAGTTAAAAATAGAATATTCTCCTTGATATAACAAGATGGATGAGTCGTACAGCAAGCAGGAGTAAGTGCAGTTGACGGGAGTACAGCTTGGCAGCATGTGCTATAGCTAGGGTTGTCTTCTATTAAATTAGCCCCGTTAAAATTCTATTAGGACGCGCACATGCCTGTAGGATATGCGTTTGGTGTAATCATCACAAGCCTTTCCGAATTTCGGTATAATGTGGCATTTCCAGTAAAATATAGTACTTCATTAAAATTATACGTTTGAGGCAGAGACCACTTGACTCAGAAATGCTATGATGTTCAGATATGCAGAATCAGAGACGCAACGAGGCATAATTGCTCACATGAATAGATTCTGTATTCATTGCATGTGTGCATGGTTACATATGCACGGCATTTACGATTCATACACTAACATCTATTTGTTATGAAGTATTGGTGTAAATTATCGATTCGCAGGGATTGTGTGGGATGTCTCACTGGCACATATCAAGACGAAGAAGGCCAGCTAGATTGTAAAGAATGTCCTGATAACAAAACAACTATCGGAGAAGGAGGCAACGCGGTGTCGGACTGTCGAGGTAAGCTATAATGGAATGTTTTTGCTCGTGAAATTATTATGAATGCTCACGTGGCTGAACAATGAATTACAAATAAGTGTTGTTATTGAACTCTGTTGTGTAATGGATCGATATATATATATATATACTTATATATCGATTGAGCTATATGTATTTACTTTAGCTTTATGATTTTTATATTTAGCTTAAGTATTTTTTACGGCTTAAAAGGTCTGTTTTGTAATGTTATTATTCGCGTCGTTTTGAAATGAGTGAAACCTTTTCAAAAATGGACTATTGTACAATTACATCATTTAGTGCCGTAAAATTAACATTCGCAATGATTTCTAATGCTAAGAATTCTGCAAACATGAGTACAATGAGAGATATATAGAAGCTATACATTCTAGAGTCTTTTATACGAACTGAATATTGTTTCTCGTTACAGTTAAATGTAAACCGGGGCATTATTCAACGACACGCTTAGAGCCCTGCCTTGCCTGCCCTGCCGGTACCTATCAACCCGGGCACGGAGAGAACGAATGTACACCGTGTCCAAATAAGCTCACAACCTTAGAAGGAGCTCAGTTGGAAAGCGAATGCACAAGTATGTGTGATTTACTTACCGAATAACACACATGGAAACATATTACATACCGACTATAGCCGCGATAAACACATATATTAATATTAGCAGGAGTAAATAATCACAAGTTATTGCCAAAATTTATATTATATTAGTTTATATTTATATTAAAATTTATATTATTTGTGATTATTTACTCCTAGTGTTAGCCATCTATTGTCTGAAGCTGAATTTATTAACACGAAGAGAATAATCGGTAATATCTATGCTGTTTTCAGCACTTTGCCCCAAAGGGTATTTTTCTGAAACGGGCAACCAGGATTGCTACTCCTGTCCGCGTGGGTTTTATCAGTCTAGCCTTGGTCAAAAGGGATGCATCAACTGCCCGGAGGGGCAAAGCACGGAGACTACAGGATCCCGTTTTCACACGGACTGTCGAGGTATATAGCAGCTAGCTATATAAACGAGTTCAAATATTTTTACATGAACAAATAGTGTAATATAAATAAATAAATAAATAAATAAATACATACATTTATATATATATATAATATATATATTATTCATTTTGTTATTGTATTTATGTATTGTGCATATTAAGGTAATAAACCAATCTTTTACATAATTTCGTACTGTGCGCGGACAAGCAATTATCCAGGTGAGGTCTCTGCTTTCTTACAGACATCAACGAATGCGAATTGCAGAAACCGTGCAAGAATGGAGCCAGCTGCGTTGATCTGCCCGGCAATTACCAGTGTTCATGTATAACAGGGTTTACAGGGCTCCAGGTATTCAGAAATATAATAGTGTTTATAATTATGTTATGCGATAAACTATTTAATTAGTGATTCATTTTCCCTTGTATATAAGATATTATTATTATTATTATTATTATTACTACTACTACTACTACTACTACCGCCATTATTTTTATTTAATAATTAATAATAATAACAATAATTTAATTGTTCACGGACCACTTGACACCCCGTCAGCGACACCGTTGTATTAAATTAAAAGGTTGATTAGATACGAGGTTAGAACTGTGTAAAACCTTTGCTTTTACAGTGCGAAATAAACACCGATGATTGCGGTCCTGACTTGTGTGAGAATAACGGAACCTGCGTAGACGGTGTAGATGCCTACAGCTGTGACTGTGCGCCTGGCTTCTCTGGGGATATCTGCGAGCGGGACATCGACGACTGTTTCCTGAGTGAGTATCACATTAATTACACAAACTTGTAGTAACAGTACCAGTGAAAGGCTAGGTTGCCAACATTTAGACGATATATTTAATGATATTTCATTAATATGCATTGAGAGTGTCTCCTTAATACACATTCACTCGTTACCTCGTTATTGTTATATCGTAACATACAACAATAATGAGATAACGAGATAGTGATTGATTCTTCCTATTTGTTTACGTTCCTCGCATCCTGCGATTCGCTCAACCAACTTCTACTCGCAGAGGAAACGAGCAAAAACCCCGCTCACTTGCACTTGTTGTGGAATCAACAATATTATTTAAATCATTGAATCCTTCTTTGATAGTTGTCTCGCCTATTGTTGAACAATAGGTTCATGTACGTGAAAACTACATAATGCGTCTGTTGTCAGATCCGTGCATGAATAAAGGAGTGTGCAACGACATGATCAACTCATTCAGTTGTACGTGTCAACCAGGATATAGTGGCGAACGTTGCGAGATTAAAGACTCGAAATGCACGTCGATACCGTGCCAAAATAACGGAACGTGCTTTGATACACACAACGTGAGTAGAGACAAATAACGCAATAGGCAATGTTCAATAGAAGTTGCAACAACCTGTTATACGACCTGGTTTAATAATGATTTTTTTACAGCGTGCCATGGTCGCAAAACATTTTTTGCCTATTGAACAAAACTGCTTACAGCATGTCACTGTTAAGGCGGCCGACCGTTAATGGTCAGTTTCGATTATGGCTTTATTGGTTGTCTGTGCATGCCCGTAAATTGCCTATATCAGTTTTGTTTTTCCATGCCCTTTGCCTGTTTTCAAACGTACGCCTTTGTCAGAGATGCTATTTCCCCTACGATAACGATCTGTGTTATTATAACGCGAATATTAATAAGGCAAATCATATAAGATTAAAATGTTTCCGACCATATGACTCTGTAAAGGCCTCCAATATGGAGCTATCCCTAATAATCCTGATTGACATAGCCCGCTTCATCCAACTAGTCCCATTTGCAAAGCGGCAATATCCAATGAGATCTCGCTGCACAAAAGGGATATTACACTGCTTTCAGTAGGTTAGGGGGTAAGCTTGGTTGTATTCAGAAGCCAGTGAGCGATGAATATGTGATTACTCGGAATTAACTCGACGAAGCTTGGTTGACAAAGGATAGCAGTGGAATGGGCCGTACTACATGAAAAGGTATAATCTACAGTCCTTGACAGTTTAATCTGTGTAACAATTGTAGAACTTCACTTGCTGCTGCCTGGAAAACTACGTTGGCCTTTTCTGCGAGATTTACATTCCCTATGACAACGCTACATCAAATGAAACAATGGTAACAGATAGCTGTGCATCGTCGCCATGCCAACAGGGCGGCACCTGTTACAATTTTGAAGAAACCTTCGTCTGCAAATGTCGAAAAGGATATCATGGAGAACAATGTGAGATAGGTGAGTTACGGCATCATCAAAGACAACAGTTACTGTTTACCAGGACAATAACGATTCACAACCGTTATGTCAACATGTTGTATGTTAGTGTTTCTAACACTAATTTCTTGAGAAATGTGTTGTAAAAATATACGGCTGCACCTACCATGAAATATTTGAGATGGAAAGCGACGAAAAAATTAACTATTTTTCAAATACTTTAGAACATAAAATTAGAACAGCTTTGCATGATTGTCATTAACGAAAAATGATATAATTACTTTTTTTAAGTATACTACTATTATGACGTTTAATGGTTGCAATTATAATAGTATTCACGTCTTCAATTTACGCCTCCTTATTTTTTTAATTTTGTTTTTTTGCTCAATTACAATCCGCAGAAATATCCTACAATTACGACATGGTGTTTCAAACGAGACAGATAACGAACTACGCGATGTACGTTGGTGAGATACCGGACCTGTACGCTCTAACGCTAGCCTTCTGGATGAGAACCGACGACACACAGAACCAGGGCACGCCCGTATCGTACGCGTGCGAGAGGTCCGACGGGCGGGTGGTCGACAACGCCTTGACGCTTAACGACTACAGTAACTTCATGGTCTACATCAACAATATGCCACCAATGCACACCGACGTCAAGGCAAACAGGTTCGCTGTGTAGTTTTGTGGTGCACTGAGTTAATTTCGGATAAGAATAAATACATATAATCAGGAGCGTCATAATACAACATATATAACATAATATTACATATCATATCATATCATATCATATCATATAATATAATATAATGTATATAACATAACGCATGTATTATTAGCTCGTGATACTATCATGTTGGTATAACTCCCATTACTAGTAACAGCAATAAATATAATATAATGTATAATACATAACGCATGTATTATTAGCTCGTGATACTATC